AAAACACAAAAACAAACTTTTTTTAATTTTTTTAATTTATATTTTTAATATATTTTCATTCCATTTTTTTTATGATGGTGATTATTACATTATAAACATAATTGAAATATATGATACGTATGATTAGAGGAATAATGGAATACTTAAATCTTTAATAGATATTATAATTACTTATCATGTTAATCATTGCTATAATTTTAGCTCAATTAAAATACATATTGATCGTTGTCTTTGGTTTTTTTTTTTTTTTTTTTTAAAATTATATCATATATGTTAACTGTCACTTGTAGATGTGAATTACTTTTAATCGATGAATATGTGAAGTATAATTGTCAAACTTTTAAAAGTTACTAATTGGTAGAGAAAAAGAAAAATGATGTATTCCAAAAAATCAATTGAAATTTATACTTTTATAAATGTCACATTTAAATCTAATCTGATAAAAGGTTTAAGTTTAAGTGCTAATTTTAATCTTTTTCAAAGTAAACATTTTACTATACTTAAATTATTAGATTTTTTCCATTTTAATTATCAAATTTTATGTTTCTAATAAATTTAAAATAGCATGATATGTTCGGGTGCAAATTTGGCATAATAAAAGTATAATTCTAAGTGTTAATTTAATTTGGAAATATGAAATTAAATTATTCAAATGACAACATTTAATATTTTATTGCGATGCAATATATTTCAAAAAAAAAGTGTGGAAAATTCAGCTATATTACATTTCTTGAATTATATACATTGTGATAAAATAAATTATTAAATGTTATTATTTGAATTAATTTAATTCAATATTTTTAATAATTAAGCATAAAATGATAATGTTCATGGATTATCATTTCGATAAAATCTTTAACTATTTAACTGTTAATGTACATCAATATTAGTTGTCAACAATTGTCACCTGCGTCAATTATGACCAACATAATGATGAACGCCATGACGTCTTTATAATTTTAAGCACTAAAATATTGTTGTTAGCAATCTTTCATTAGCTTTAAAAATGTGGCACAAAAAAAAATAAAGTTTTTTCTTTTTTTTTTCTGTATGTCAAAAGGAATTGTAAATTTTATCGCAATTTCCTTTTTTTTTTTTTTGTCTTACACTTATGACGTTGGTGAAATTTCAAATAAATTATTAAATTTCAATTTGATAAAATATTTTTGAATAAATTATTCAATGCTATTTGAATTCATCGAAGATTTATTGTATTATTTTATTTTACTTTATTTTATTTTTTAAAAAATATATGAAAAAATTTGATAAAGATAAAATAATACATAATATTTATTATTGTAATGTTATCAACTAAAAGATTCCCCAAATAAAACTAATGAAAATTATAGAGTTTCTGACTAAAAAAATCATTTCATTATAATTAAAATAAATAAATTGATCCTTTTTAAAATTATTATTTTAGGATAATAATAAAATTCAAATTTCTAATTTTTTTTTTTGACATCAAATTTGTCTTTTCCATGTAATTCAAATTTAAAAAAAAAAGAAATATTAGTCATGTTTCATATTTTTCCTTAAGAGAATTATAAATTATAAAAAAAAATATTTTTCGATTTTTCTATAATGCATTTTTGTTTTTTTATTTTTTTGAATAGTTTTCTTTTTTTCTTCTCAATTTGTATGATGTAAATTGACATTGACGAATTTTAATTTAATTTATATTCATTTTCTTTTTTGCTTATTTAGAAATTACGTGCAACATATGCGGCAGAGGACTTAGCAACAATATCATCAGCGAAATCATTAACCGATTTATATCCTCAATCACAACAACAACAACAACAACAACAGCCGCAATATAAATTAGAAATTGATAATAATGTCATCGTAACAAATGATTCAACAGATACCGGTAATACAGTACAACCATCAACATTATTAACTAGTTCTGGTATCAATAACGATCGACGAGTTTTTTTTCAAGACGAATTACCTGAATCTACTACAACCCGATCACTACTACCTACTGAGGTTTGTTATTATCAATCATTATTATTAGATAAAGCAAAAAAAAAAAATTCTGATATAGGTGATATTTTGTTATCTGATTAGGATATTAATTCTTATTAATCAAATTGGATTAATTAGTAATAAATTCATAGAAATCTCAAAATCTTTGCAAAACTAAATAATATTGCACGTGTTTGATTTCAATAAAATAGAAAATTTGCAAAAAATGAGAAATTTTCAGAAAATAAATAAATAAAATCGAAAAATTTCCCTTTTTCCTTTATTTTTCTAAAATTACAATAAATATAAAAATCTTAAATTTAGAAAAATTATTGATATTATTTGAAGGATAAAAAAAAAAACGATTAATACTTTTGAGGAATTTTAATTTCCTTTGCTTTTATTCGATTTCAAATTACTCGTTTTTTTCGTTTATATTTTTATTAGAAACATAAGAATTTTCCGATGCATTTTCTGTAGTTATGTAAATTAATAAATTAATAAACGAAATGCTTAAATTTGTTGGTAATTTTTCATTAAATTAAATCTTATTGAAATGGGATTATTTCAAAAAAAATTTTGTTTATTTTATTTTTAATTGGTAAAATATGAACACACACAACAAAAAAAAAAAAGAAGTAACAACCTAACAAAATTGTACTATTTTTTGATTCCACCTTATATTTCTTGAATTTTTATCTTTTTCCAAAAAAAAAAATCGTCTCAGTTTAATGATTAGCAAAATCTTTTAAGCAAAAATTTCAAACTGTTTACTTTAATTCGAAAAAAATCACATCCAATATTTTGTAAATATGGACAATAAATATGCCAAGGAAAATTTGATCAACAAAAAGAGAAGTAATTTTTAAAATTAAATTATTTTTTATTTTTTCATTCTTT